GGCTCTGAGGAAGGCGAAATCCGCCGAAACGTCAGCTTGTGCGTAAATAAAGAAATAAAATAGCACCTCGTGTTTGCTGAACAGAAGTAGAAAGATGTATTCAATCAATGCTGAGGTTAATAGAAAGTCGGACTTGGGAGTTACTACAAGATGTACCAGCAAGAATACATATTTATTTCTGTGTTTGTTTTATGCTTTCTATATCAACCTATTCCTTTCTCCCGTTTGAAACAGCTTTTTGCATGCATATCTGAGAATACCTATCTATGGACCAGGTCCAGTGTAAAATCTGTGTTAGACAAGGCATCCATTGACTGCAAAGGATCGTAAAGGTGTCATGTAATCGAAAGTGATGGATTACGTGAAGAATGACAAAGAAGCAGTTTCGGCAAACCCTGTGCATAAAGTAGTTGTTATAATACAAATGGTTCATTCTCTTCACGAGCGAGAAGTTATCAAGACTCTATACACATTATAGGAGATAGTTATGAGTGAAACTAACCAGCAATTTTCACCTCGAAGAAAACCGAGGGAGAAATCAGTGGATCATTGAAGTCTTGATGGAAATACGTGTATAGATGACTAATCTGCATATTTACATTGAAAAAATACTACCGTGCTTTAGAGTACCTTACACACTGTATTTAGGTCACTCTACCACTTTCTTGATAATGTTTCCATGTCCTTGAGATAAATGTTATGGGTGCTTTTCCCAAGCTCTACCCTTTTGGCAAACACTTCTGGACATTGGCCGCGGTCACGTAGCCCTTGCGAACAGCCACTGTGCATAGCTAACGGTAGTGTCTCAACCCATTCACCTTTACTGATGACATTTCACACTACACTCACTAGGATTGTCGAATAGGAAAGCGATTCACGGTCGTGAACGAACACGAAGAAAAGACCAAAATCTTTATGCCAACATACGGAGAGTAAATTTTAAAATGTATGTATGTAACGACTAATGAAGACAGCTTTAGTTGCGGGAATGATGTGAACATGAAAAAACTGGCGTAGAGGTACTGCTTATGTGGTTCCATAAGGACATGCCTCAAAGAGGTTTTATGAAAGCACGAAGCCCGTCAAGGGCAGCAAGTCTCATCTATAAGAAACATAAGGAGACATTCGAAAAGTTACCGTATTATCATGACAAAACCCTGAAATAGGGCTCCTTAAGTTCGTATGAAATTAAGTATGCCTTGTCGCTTTTGGCCCGCGTGGTTTAGTTTTCATCATTACATTTTTAGGACATGTAGAAGAGGAATGCTGTGTATGCATATTACTGACTTGTGACTTGATGAGTTAGTAACGTTTTACTAAGTGTTCTTATAAGGCTATCAAAAGCAAATGGTTACAATAACTGCATGAGTTCTGATTTGGAATGTGCATTGAACAATGTCCAATTGGGGAACATGTAGTGGCAAACACCGTGTGATGAAATGCAAAGACCATATTATCCTTGAGAAATGTTATCTCTCTGATTGGGGGCCAGTATAACAGAGGGTTCCTGCTTAACAGCTTTGAAAAAACGACAGGTTATTCACTTTTTAGCTGAGCAGACGCGAGGTTTTATTATTCTTATAGAATGAATGAAAAATACGAAGAATTACTTGATCAATTCCGAGGTTAATAGAAAGTCGGTCGTGGGAGTCACTTTTTAGCTACTTGATTCGCACTGTTGACCGCATAGACAGATTTATCGGTGGACTAATCCTAGGAATCTATATCATCCTGAGAGAATCATAGTCATAAGGCAAGAGAGCTCCCTCCAATCCACAAAGGCAAATTATTGACTACGGTGAAAAAAAATGAAAAGCGAAATACAACCACAACGTTGCTGAGATATTTGCAAAACTCTGGACCGCAGGTGTCTATGGTGGGGAACGAACGCGCTATTGTCCTTTCCGGGGAGTAACGCGTTCACCACCACACCATGCGGGTCCTTTGTTTCGCACGTCTCTCAGCTATTTCTATCGATCTTTTGCCACAGCAATCACCCGTCAGCGGGGTTGCTCGATAAACATTCAGTATGCAGGTGTGCGGAAAATGCAACGCCCTCGTGCGAACATGCTGTACGGTATTCACTTCGTAGTTGCTGTCTCTGATATTTACGATTCAAATAGGTTTCTAGAAATATTTTACTTTACAGTTTAGATTACTTACAGTCGTACCAACAGACTTTGCACCTGATAGCTTTGCTTCAATGTAAGGTGGTGTTTAGTACTTGCTTGTTTTTAAGCCTTTTAATTTCCCAGGGAATAGAAGAAATGTTAAGGCCGGTATTTGCAGTAACATCGCGAAACATCGGTATGTTTACCAAAAGCAGCATACTGCTACACTGTTAGCGTGTTATCAGTGATTCGTCGTCCTGTTAAATGTTTATCCCTGCCACCTACGTATGATGGGAAATCAACTCAAGGCAGGGTCAAATATTCAGCTAGATCAACTCTTCATTTACTGACTATTATTATTTTTCAGGGACGACATAATGTAAAATATAACCACTATGATACTGAGATGTCTGCGAAACTTGGGCTCTAGGCCAGATTCGAGCAGGCGATTACTCTTTCAGGATTTTAGAGAGAAAGGCAAAGCAACGTCCTCAATGGTGTATTGGGTAACATGTGAACCCTGGAAAGTGTAATCGATGGTTCGAATCTGGCCTGGAGTCCATGTTTTGCAAATATCTCAGTATCATAGTGGCTGTATTTAGCTATTCTTCTATCGAAGGCTTTTACTGCCTTAACATTTCTTCTGATGACAGAGTGCATTGGACCTCGTTTGCACCGACATTGAACAAGACCTTTGGAAACGATGAAGCGGTAGAGATTGTTGAAACCTCAGACGACATCCGAGCTCCTACAGAAGATATGCAATAATTAGTCACTTGTTCTAAGAAATCCCACAACCAGAAGCTTCCAGTTCTGTGTCATCATTACAATAGTACTCTAGATATAACTAAAAGATAATGGAGGAATAAATCAATGATTTTTTCTTGACCTTTAGCATCTCATTTGAGCATACATCTTAGAATCTCAAAATATGGATGTACATCAGGATGAAGATGGATTTTAGACAACCAAATCAGATCAGGGGCAGATGGTACAGTGGTAGTGATGTCCAACATCACGAGCACGGTGTTAGTTCGATTACGTTCCGGTCTAGCCAAACCTCTCATCCATCCGGGGCCGGGAAATTGGTACCAGAATTGTCTGCGAAAAATCACTTTCTGCAATCCAGTTGGGAACGCTCCAACTGGGCTATATCAGTACTCCAGCGAGAATTAGTGGACAGCAATCTACGACATTCAAGATGAAATGGAAATCCTCAAGCAGCAACCGAAGCCACATGTAAAGTTGGAAGGTCTTCGTGGGCGATGAGTGCGAGAAAACGAATCGAATGTGAGAACTGCTAGGATCCACACAGCAGACGTGAAGACGGCTCATATAAAATAAAACTTAAAAAATTAAAAAACAGATCCCTTGAGCGCGAGCAACGCAGTGGTGAGAGGTGTCTCGCAATACACACGTGGTTATTGGCTCAATCCCGCGCTTCGGGGTTCACCAAGCCTTCCATCCCTTCGGAGTCGACAAACTCGTACCAGACTTGTCTGGAAGGAGGGCACCATTGACTTGATACATCGGTAGGCCACCGCAAGTTATTATACACGCCAGGTATGCTTTCGTGAAGATCCCGAAGAGTACAGTCACTAACGGCTCTTGTCCATCAGTTTTCATTCCTACGCATTACTTGTCCAGCCCACCTTATCTTCGACTGTTTGATGTATAAAACGGAATCTTTGATTTTTGATCGTTGATGCAGGTCTGAGCTTCGGATCCCATCCCTCACTTGTGTGAAACGGGATACTCCTAGCATTGTCCTTTGGACTGCGCGTTCGATAACGCTGAGTGATCTTTCATCCTGCTTACGCAGTGACCAGGTTTCTGACGCATACGTTAGGGCAGGAAGTACCTTTCAGTCGAAAATGTGGGCACGGAGTCGGGTGTTCTTTGTTTTCTCCACTACATCCTCGATGCTCTTGAAAGCTCTCCAAGCCGCTCGTTTCCTTCTGCTCAACCCTGGAGCTAAGTCGTTCAACACGTTGGTTTCCCGAACTAGATTGACATAACTGGAGCATTCGGAGATATTCATTCCGTTGAGCGTTAATGGAGCATACGAAACAAATCCGTTCCTCATGAACATCGTTTTTGTGAGATTTCGTCGAAGGCCAATTTCCACGGGCTCTATCAAAGTCGGTAAACATACGTTCCGCTTGGCTAATGTTTGGTGTTATAAGGACGTTTTGGAAATAATTCACACTTATAGTTTTAAACCATCATCGCCCTGCTTGCAATGAATTTTATTAGTTATAATAAAAATCACTGGAATCTCAAATTCCCTGTTAACACGAAATAAACCTACATGTCAATACTAAGAGGAAGCATCACGCTACTGGAGTCCACAAAGCCCTTTTTTCATTCAGTCAAGTACGTTGACCAGAAAAGCGAATGAACAAGCAAGGTTTCGTCCGAAAAGTATTGATTCCAACGATTGTTAGTAGATTGACGACAATGCTCGTTTTGCTTCGTATTTCCGCTTGAAGAAATCATTATCTACGCGACGAATGACCATTCATTCAAAAATGTCATTCTTTAGCAGGTATGGGGAAAAAAGAATACTGTAAATTACAAACAGTTAACGTCATAATCCCAGGTATGCTGTGTCATTTAATAATTCGCTGAACATCACATCCAACACGAATCTTGCCTAAAGTCGTAGTTCGGAGTCAAAATTAACACACATTGGACGAGTTTTCGCATCGTAGTGAATTGGTTGCTCTTAAAAGTAGAGGTTTCTTATTACTGGGTTTAATAATCTGGTGCGTTTCGATCTTCCAACGTGCCATGGTATAAAAATCGAAACAAATCGAAACAAAAACTGGATGTGGGACTTCTTATAGGACATTTGTAACATTTAATCCTCAGCCGAGTCGACTGAGCACTATAAATTTCTCCACCATCGGTTACCACTGCGTAACAGAGCTCTTTAAAACTCTCTCCAGGAATTCGAAGAGTACCACACAATGAATAATTTTACTTTGGTATTCTTCTTCAGCGCTTTTTTTAAACAACAGGACACCGATTGTCAACTTAGCGAATCTGGGCATAACGAAGTTGGTATACCCACTACCTGTTGGTTGCACGACTTAGATGACTCATATGGTTGTGAAAAATTCGTCGTCACCACTTGTCTGTAGGATTTTACATGTGCCCTGGAATCCGAAAGCCGTCCGCACCATTCGCGTAACAGACTCCCACCCTAAATCCGCTCTCAAGAGCTATACGATGAGGCAATAAAGGTATGAGCACCGCATCACAATGGCAACGTTTAGGTGAACTACAGTACACACCAGTAATCAACGCAAGAAACATTAGGTTTGCTCGATGAGTTGCTTTTCAACTTTCTCGCCTTGACTATGATAATGATATAAATGACAAAAAGAAAGGGAAAGACATCATGAGCGAGCTGTCATAAACCATCTAAATGGAAAATTAATGAACTACACACTTTGGACCGAAACATACCGACGATCCCTTCATCTCTAGGGATAAGTAGTCACTAACGATAGTTTAAAACTCTGTTCCAATATGCGTCCTATTTATTTTGATGTATCTGAAAGATTCTTTCTACAACAAATCGTAAATTTCCTTATTTTCCTCTTCTAGTGCACCAGTGAATCTCTCTGTTTTCGAACGCTGTCATCAAAGCTAACTAGTGCTACCTAGGCTGCTGCTAGTTATCGTTAAGGAGAAAAATTGAGCGACGAGATTAACAACAACTATGCCACTGCTATTCCAATGCCTTTTTTGACTTGATGTGGAAGCACCCACTTCTTTGGGTGATGGTTTCAGAATGGAAAACCCTATGTACTGGAAGGAATTCGAACTCTGGAACTTCAATTTCAATGGCCTCATACTTCTAATGGTGTCCTGTCGGCGCTGGTACGTTATAGGCGTTATCACCGGTGACATTAATCTCATAAATCCAATTTATTAGGGCTGTTGCGTCGTTTGTATGCGTGTTTAGAGAAGTACTGTTCATCATTCGAGGTCGAGCGGCCAGAGGTGTCGGCCCGACTAGGCGACGTTACGTAATGTCCGTAACGCTGAGCTCGTCGGCGCGCGTTATGTTTATGTCACCGTCTAGCAGCAAGCTCAGTCCAGCTTCTGAGCGATGAGCCGTCCGTCACGCGAGCAACAGCCGCGCTTTCGCGATCCGCAAGCCGCATATCTCATCGCTTTCTAGTCCTCTTCTACCGTAACCTCTATCGTGAGTTTAATGAACTTTAAAGAACCACACCAACGAGCATTCGTTATTATCTATATGGTGGTGATTATGCGAAACGTGGAACAAGCGAATGGGAGCGATGGCGCTGAGCACTAGATGAAACTTCAGCACTGTGTTCAATTTGTGAATATCTTACTTCTAGCAGTTTATTTATTAGGTCATGTTTTCTCACCGCCGGTACCCAGTTGCTTGATTTATGCTTCTTACTTTTTTCAGGAACATGTTTGCACCACCAATAAGCAAAAGGTAACATAACAACTGCAAAAATGGACGTAGACAAACTGTTATCTATGACACAAATGTAGCTGTTACTTATTGTATTAGCTTTATAAAAAAATTGTCGCCTTAAGGTTGTTTTCCTTTGGAAAAAAAACTATCGTAGTGATAAGGATCGATTTCAGAAAGATATGCATAACCTATTAGTATGAACCATCAGTGGAATTGAAACGTCCAAAAAATGTAACAACAAGTATGTTGTGTTATCAGCAAAACTCGGAACCTCAGTTCGTCTTCGAACCTTCGAATACACCTACTGGGGGTCACACACTATTCACCACACCAACCGAGGTCCTTGTTTTGCATTCCCCTAGGCTATGTATTTACTCTATCGGCACCTATCACTAATAACTTAGCAGTGGCAATAAAAAGAAGGCGGAAAATAAAAGTTAAGACGTTGTGGCCTAAGAAATGTCATGGTTTCCACCGACATATTTTCTTTTCGAAAAGGGTGCGTGTTTCAGTGCTTAGAGGTGCCATAATGGCCAGGTGGTTTTTGGCTTGACTCCATGCTTCAGAGAAATCATGCTCCGATCTCTTTACGGTCAGCGAATTGGTACTAGACTCGCCTGAGAAGGTGGATGCACCGACTTTATATATCGATAGGTCACCGATATGTGCTGTGTAAGCCTAGACTGCGTTCAACCACCACTGCGATGCTACGAGTAGAGTCGAATCCATGGCGCATCCCGCATGAGGATTGATTGCCTAACTCTTTACCCTTCATTCTCTACGTTTAGTTTATAACTTGCCCATTCAATACGTTCATTAGTATCAATCTATTTCGAATGATTTATCATTCTCATCACCCATTTCCTCGATTTTCGTCATTTACTCACCCAATAGAAGCCAATAAAGATATTTTTATGTGCGCACTCTCATCGCCTTGCTTCAACCATACGGTACGATTCTATACGGTGCATGAATTTCTTCTTCTCACGGTATTGATGGATGGATGGGCAAAGTTCTTACCCGAATGGAAAGGTCACCTACCCAAACTAGGCTAACTGAGTTCAATTTTCGTCGTGGCACTCGTCCAATGACGAGGTGCGAACATTAACAAAGAGGCGAATATTATCTGTGGTACCTAAGGATTCACGCCATAGATAGTTGACTACTTCCTGGTCACTTCTTCACTTTTATGTTTATGGATTACGCTATGAGGTCGTCTATACCCGATGAGATATTCTCAGCAGGCTCAGTGAAGGCATAGTACTTCCCTCGAGTCAGCAAAATACGGTCAGCCCAATCCCTTTCTCTTCGCCGCGTTTTATGACCCTTAGAACTTTGCTGACGGCTATTCGCCAACAAATCGCCATCACATCATACTCACAGTTCTAGGAAATACTTATTCAAACAAGAAAACTTATTTATTTAGTCTTACCCTTTTTTTTCATTTCTTAGGTTTCTGAAGTAAAAATCTGTCCCTAGAAACTTCGTTGGTTCGATTGTCTATAACATGAGTGATTGAGCTTTTCCACTTAAACAAACGTATCTCAGCTTATGGTGAAGATTATTACTTCAAATAAGGATCACTAGATTTTTCTTGCAGGTCTTTTCCAGCAAGATATTTAAAGTTGTCATAATCTACCATGCCCGAATTTTTTCTCAAGTCCATGAACGTTTTCTTTCGCTGAGACTCGTATTTCGGATAGTTAAGCGATTGCAGAAACGGAATTTCGTTCAACAGCACATCATGGCACTCTCGGTCAGACCTGCTCAACTTGTAAAACAGAATCTTGAATAAGTTTAGAGTTAAAATAAATATATTTGAAGAGTCACATACATTGGAATGGTATGGGAAGTCTTTTACATGCGTCTGTTAAAACTCCAGATTCTCACGTGCTTTATTTGTTAAAAACTTCTCGGAATTTATCAAAAAGAAAAAACAAGGCTTTTGGCAAATTTTGAAGCATAAAAGCGTGAAATGTTCGACACTGATCAGTGGCATACAGAAGCGTCATGCATTCAACCTCATTTGTAGCATAATAGACATGATTGGATATGGTTCAGCCTATGTAGTACCGGAGAACTACCGATGCGTCAGACCAGCATTTTCATTATGTCGGGCAGTCTGGAAAGATGGAGGGGCTTGGCTTGCTCTGGTTGTATGGTCGAACCCACCACATGGAGTATACTGCAAAACACCTCAAACCATTGAGTTACATGCCATATAAATGCGTTATGCAAGTAGAAAAAAAGACGTTGAAACCACCACCTTCTTCAGAAGTACAACCAATGAAAATATTTTGTCCAATGAAATAGATGCGATGTTGTTTCAGGAATCTAGAAGGAAGATTTCTTCGAGAGATTGTGACTTTCGAACCGTTCGATTTGTCTACTACAACAAATTTAGAGAGCAAACACATTCTCCTGCAAGTTTTATTTCCTCATGATGTCATTACTTTACAATGTATATACCATTTTAATACACAATATAGCACAACAATTAAAAAAAATTCATAACTCGCTCCATCTACAGTACCCTTGGCAAGTTGTTATTTGTTCGCTTACGGCTCAAATTTAAAACATCATTGAGTTGTCCACTATTCACGCTTTCGTTACTCATTTTCCCCATTCTGCATTATTATTCGAATGTTTAATTAACCTGTCAGAACGAATCACAAAGAGTCGAAGTATATCAGCAATATATCCACGTGACTGGGATTCAATTTTCTGCGTGAATAAGACTTGATTGCAAGCTGGTAACTACGTGCATGCCTGCCACGAGGTCACTGATTCCCCTCGCTGGTTTGTTCTTAGTAGAGCTTTGTATGCAAATATCGGACTTCCTCCCAGCTTGAGAAATCCGGCTCGTGAATGAAATCAACTCTGCGTTAAATCATAGGACGACATTCACAGAACACAATCCAGCTATGGTGAACCGTTAACCATTAATGAACTTATCGACACTTCTCTCGAAGATTCCGTTCGTCGTTCATTGGCCACCTATATAACGTCATTCATCAAAGAGGCTCGTCCACTTTAACAGTTGCTTGCCTGGGATGGGCGGGGCTCAACTAGTCACGGACGAATGAGGAGGCACAGCGTCAGTATCATTTGTGTGCCAAGTTTGTTCCCAAAAGCGAATCAATCTATGTCATCGCTCTGAGTTTCTCCCATTTTTCTGTTTGGTGTAGTTGTTTCGAAAGTCTAGATTTTATACGTAAATATTTTTATTATGTCCTATCAATCTCAATCAAACATGTTGTAGGTGCTACTTTAGCACATAAATGACCCGTCACTCCTCCTCGTCATCGTCTCCTGATGAAAACCGGCGCCTTCGTTCGACGTTGAAGGAAAAGAAGCGAAATATCGAAATCAATGAGGCTTTTGAGAGGCTTCAAAAGTGATTTCCAAAGATTTTTATTTAACAGTTGAAGCAGTGTTATCGTTACGAATCGTTATTCTACGGCCGGCTTCGCGTTCGTTTGCTCTCATTCTAATCACAATTGTAATTCAGCTTCGACTAGTGAACTGACTGTTCACTACAATGGCCAACTTCGATTGCGAAAGATTTATGGATAATGGAAAGATAACTTTTCTTGGTGTATAAATCTGAAGCTGTTATGACAAGATTCCGAGAAAAACTTGACAACCTAAGCAAAACTAAAGCGATTTAAAACAAGAAAATGCACGAGACATATTCTTTAGGTGTAAATGGCTATGTCAGTTCAACTTATTCCCATTCAATTTCCAGACAACTGCCACATGTGCCAACGTCGACACGATTGCCAAAAATCAAAACCCTACGCTTAGCATTGAAATACATCGAACATTTGAACACAATCTTAAGCGGCGACAAACAGGTAACACCGTTTTTCACTTCATGCAAAACGTCACTAGTGTTGGGGAGATGACAATACTCAGTGATTGAACGGAATCTAAGAACAACGATGATGTATGGAAATACATAGGTGAATAGCCGTAGTCGTTAATTCCATTAATAGTATCGATAGCTGATTCAACGCCGCACTCAACAAGCCCTCCATCCCTCCGGTGTCGGCAAATTGGAGGCAAACTTGTCTTGAAGCATGAACACACTAATTTAATACATCAGCCTCCCACCGTAAGTTATTGTGAATGTCGAAAAGGCATTCACCCAACTTTCTGATGCCATGGATGGAGTCGAATGCATGGTATACCCTTGGCACAAGGATTGCTCAACGCAGAACGATTTGCACTGAAACTGCTGATGAAAATATAAAGTTGAAAAGCATTGTGAAGACGATTACAGATGCTTGATGGTTGTAATCTACGTGCTATCATTCTTTCCAATCGTCTTGATGTCACTATGACCAACAGAATGCTATAACAGCATGTTCCAGATAATGTCGGACTACATGAGTTCTCCTCGACCTCTCTGTATTGAGGATTTTGCTGCCGTTGCAATGCAAGAAATACAGGTGATGGTTATCATTTCCTAGATGCAAACGTATTATGAGAAATGGTCCAAATTTTCAAAACTGTTCATGGAGTTTCATATGGATCTCAAATGATAGAAATACAAATGAATAATTCATTTTGTACTTCGAATTTGAGGACGTACATGATCTTCTTTTGAAAACAAACCGAGAAGCCCACTTGATTGGTGTGAAAAACGGCCAAAAAGGCTGGTTACGGCAAAACTTGTACAGCCAATTGTAATAGGCGAGGGAAGATCCTGGGAACAATTTTCAAGAACTACTCTGAAATCCAAAATCAACCACTTCATAACGGTTTACCACCTTGTTATAGCATGAAGGTGTTCTTCAGTATCGAATTCCGATGTTGAGTGAGGAACAAGGGGTTCATTCAATCACAAAAGTCCATCACTTTCAATCGAAAACACAGGTGTGAGTAACCTCTGCGATATGAAAACCCCACCACCTGCTTGTAGCTAACCTTTCACCAGAAATAGTTGATAGAAAGGGCCACGTACGAAAAGTGTGAAACGTTTTTTGCGCCCTTCGAGTTAACGAAGCACCACTCCCAAGTACTTTGTTCTGACAGATGGTTAGAACAAACGAAGCCATTAATGTTGCCCTGTCGACTTACTTTATGATCATCGGGATGATTCAGTTATTGATTAAAGAAGATCGATCACAAACTAGAATCAACTAACTTTTTATTCACTGCCTATTTTTTTCATGGCATGGTACGATGTGAAATAATTCACAACAGTTCAATGATAACTCGAAAGACTGACTTTTTATAAACCTCAGCGTAATTAGTTGATATATTTGTTTACATGTTCTTATGAACTGATCCTGCTGAGCTGATGCGAGGCTGGTAGAAGTTTCCGTTGATGTTGCTGTTGGTCGATGGCTGACGGTTCGGTGATTTCGCTTTCCTCAGAGCCGCGCTATTACGAGTGGGGCAGTCCCAGTTCATAGAAACATATAAATAAATTCGATGATAATAATTCACTGTGTTTAACACTCTACCTTACCATTAGAAAAAATGATAGGCAGTAAATTTTACAAAAAAGTTGAAACATTGATTTTGACCCCAGCTTCAACTTAACTGTGTCCAGTTCCAATTTATGCCTCCTTAATCGTTTCCGATGACGGTGATTGCTGATGGCACCGTTAGGGTAAAAAACTCGCCGAGGGAAAAGCAAAGCAAGGGCCTTAGTTAGTGCGGTAGATAACACGTGAGCTCCCAATAAGGGTAATCGCAGGTTCGTAATCTCGCGTGCAAAGCTCAAGTAAGCCACTGAGTTTTGCTCAAATCTCAACAATGCAATAATAATCTGTTACAAATCGTTCTTAATGGTAACCCAACCGTCTAAGAAAACATTGGTATAAGTATTCTATTTGAACTTTTATACGAAAACTAGCCGTTCTTAGTATTCACAGTTGTGCGTTGATTAAATCAAACTATCTCACTTCCTATTCTATCTGGAACATCGCTAATATGGCAGTAATACAATCCGTCGCACATACGCTATCATTAGATTTTAAAAATTTTTCGTATAATTCTCTCTGGAAGTAATTAAAGTAACTTCAGATTCGAAACAGTTACACAGATCGAGCTCGTTCAGAAGAGGGTGTCAGTGGTGTTCGTATAACATCTTCGTCATCATTCTACGATGTACCAAAGGTGGATTCGCCAACTCGGCCACCTTATGTGGCGGTTCCTACTCGGCCGAACTCACCACCACGGCCGCAGTACCCACCGTTATCATCCACTGCAGTTCATTCATCGGTCTATCTCCAACCACCCGTCTATTCACCATATCCGCAAAATTACTACAGTTCTTCCCACCCATAGCTTACAGCTTATCATTTTTCTATCTACTGGTAATTCTACAAAGTCTAAATGCTGGATGATGTTTCTGCCTTTTCTGATCTCACTTACCTCAAGAAATACGTTGTGCCAAGTAGTACCTGACTTGCCATGCTATATACTGATACCAATACAGTAAATATTTTACTGAGTGAGATTCTTAATTAAATCAATGTGTGTTGCATTGAAAAAGTCAAAGTTTTTTCCTAGTAAGAAAAAACTTTGGAAGTGAAATGAGTGCGAAAAATGAGTAAAAGCCTCCCTTATTTGGACATTTAAGTGGCCTTCTTCACTATTTTATCGGCCTGAAGCACAATTTCCATTTAACAGACGCTTTTTCGCAGTAGCTAATTTTTTCTCTGTGGTCGCGAGATAGCGACATCAGAGAACTATCAGGTCACCAACACAGGAAGTCGTCGACCCTTATGGTATTGAATGGACGTTTGCCGCCTTCCAACCAGATTTCTTTCAATACACCGACAACCCTTGTTATGCGTTTCGTTCTCCGTTCTCAGCTAGCTTCCGTCTTGATTTTGTTCCTCGTTTGGATAACTGTATCAGCAAGATGGACAACTTGCTCTATATCAACGCTTTTATCGCCTGAAAGTGTGTATAGCACAACGGCTAAAGGTGCCTTACAATGCAAACGCGGTCAATCTGTCTGGGATCGAAAAATTTCTAAAACACTTGTCTTGGAGGGTAGATGAAAAATCGTTTGACCACCGTAAGCAATTGCGTAGAGAAAATATGCACCCAGTTCTCACCGTGATATCACGAATGAAGTCAAATGCATGCAAAATCACGTAGGGATTGATAAGCGCCGAACCCTCCACTTTTTAACCATTACTTCGGAATTCCACGACCCGAAGCTACCTCTTCTCACGATGAAGGTATACGTCATTGAATGAGAAGTGAAAAACCCAACTATGGTCACAGTAAAGAAATTATTGAGACACATGAGTAAAAACGCGATGGAGGACCTATTGATTTATAGAAGTTTCAAATTTACACTGCTAATACATAGGAAGTTCTATTCAAATACGCCATGCTATCTTATGTGTCTGTAAATGATATGAACCCAAAAACAGCCATACTCGCTGCGTAGCTCGCCGGCGAAGTAACGAAGTTAGATTTTTCTACACATTTGTTCGAGTCAACAGTTCTATTTCAGCACTCTGGCATGACGCTGAAACACAAAGTATTTCGCAGTCACGTCGTTTCTACATATCATTCACACAACGTTAAAATGATGTCTTTCCAGCTATTATCGGAATTCTCTGTTGCTCTGTTTTGAGCTGTTTTATTGTTTTTTCCAAAACAAAAGAACTAACGGATGGCAACTCCACAAATATGATAAGGGCATTTTTGAGGTCGTCATTGTCCTCGGACTTTCTAACACGCAGCCAATGCTTTAGAGACCAAAACAAGTGGCCATTTTTAGATCCTTTGTCCGAGATGTGTAGTTGGTAAACAGCTCCAGTTTCTTGTGAATCAAATTTGTGGCAGCAGGTTAAGACTTGATATGCGAAAGTGGAAAAAAGCGGATTGGTTTCGGCCGTTTTCGGTTAACGACAGCTGCGAAATTTTTGAGTAATGCTGGGCAGCGGCTGGCATTGAATGTCTGGTTCGGCTCTAGATGACCCCCGAGATCATACTCTGCTGCCCCATAAGGTAGACAGCATCAGTTGTAATGTCGGATGCCGAGTGAGTTGGCTGCTTGGTAAGAACTATTGGGGAGTTATAATACATGGGTGTTGTTTTCGCAGCAGACTCAGTCCTCATCTCAAATAAAAATCTACCACAAACACTTTGGTGGGAGTGTGTGAAATAGCAAAAGAAATAGCAAAAGTTTGCAGATACGAACTTGTACTGACCAGCCATGATCGACCATATTGCGGAGCTTTAAAAGAGATCTCACTTCATCTGTTAGTTCCTATTGATGGCGAAAACGAACCTAAAGTCGTATGTTCTCGAGACCAAGATTGGTCCACAGATGAAAGCAGAACTTAAGAGTGAGTGTCACTCTTGTTGTACTGCTTGAAAAGAAAGTAGTCATAAACACGAATCGGCAAATGCTTGTACTTCAACTTTATTCGATCGACTCACCTAACACTGGAAGATGCTTTTGCACAGAGTGTAGACATAACAAATATGCAATATAAACATCCTGCCTTTAGTCCAGTAGGGTAAACGTGGAGGAGATATGAGAGGTGACTATTATGTGTAAAGAATAGGCGACAAAGGAACAAAAAAGAACGATGGATTAGAAACCAACAGACATGCAAATACTCAGTGACAACACCTACAGATGTGCACTCACGCTTGTCACACAATTCCGGGCGGTGATGAAGTGACGAAAAGAATGGGAAAAGTACTGATAGTTGCCAGCATGGAAGCATCTCATCGATGCATTCAATTGGAGTGAGTATACGGTAAAGTTTCAAATTATTGTCAAAGCTTGCACCACATACGCTCCGAAAAAGCATCTTAACGGTTTCGGGCAATCGCTTAACTTCGATTTGTTTCAAGACTATTATGTGAAGAATGAAGGAAACTTGGATTTGAATGCGTCGATATACAAAGTGTAGAGGTTGCTATGTCCATTTTACTTCACTGATAGCAGATTCCTAAATTCCCATAGAATTAGTAAGCACTGAGGAGAAGGAACAGTGAGTACACAGTCGAGAGCCTCTTGCTGTTGTTCTGTGAAATCGTCACGTGCTGTTTGAGGATTGTAAAAAAGCGTGTCCCACAGGCATAACTGCTAGAACTCCTAACAACAAACAACGAATCGTAAAGAACCGAAATTGTAATACTTTCCGGCGCTCCGTTATAAAACTAATACGTACGTATGAACAACGGGAACGCTCCAGCAGACTATCTGGGGGCTTCAGTAAAAAACCATTCTCCACAAAAATTCAATATTCCCTTGAATAAAGAAGATGGCAGATCACCATTTAAACCGTAACCGAACATATGAGAATCACACCAGGTCTGTGGTCGTTGCGTGACAAGAAGACGCGAATGGAAGGAACGATGCGGACAGAATGTCATGTTTATGTAGGGCTACGTAATCATGTAGATATCATTGACCCATTCAAATCGAATAACATTAGTTTTTGAGACAGAAGCTGAAGAAACTCAACTTTGTTTCTTCTAAAGCCAAAGTGAACTCCTTTTCACCTATATTAATAAAGATCTCGGTATCATTTGGTTGTTCTCGTAGGAATCGATACCGCTCACTCGTTCCGTTGTTCCGCACTATCTAGGTATTCAGAAGTAAACAAAGAAAGCTGAACTGACTACTGTTTCCAATAAACAATGGTGAAGTGGGGATTAGTGGCTGGGCAGCGGAGGTCGGGTGGCACATCTACATAACCAGAAGCACTCATAAACCACAGATAGCATGACATTGCGCAACAATGGGCTCGTTGAATAAGTTGTAAATAAACAAAGGATATGAGAAAGTTCATGTAAAATTAAGCAGAGCAATTCCCAGGATGTTTTTATGGCGTGCCAATAAATGGACAGTTTCAGTCTAAGACGCTCACTCTGTGAAAGGTTAAGGAAATTTCTGACAGACGCGAATTCGTTAGAATGGATGCGGTCATGGTAACGCCTCATCTGCAAGGAAACCACGGGAAAACTTTGATGTGAAGGGAATAAGCCATGGCTTATTAATAATGTGGTTGTCTTCCATCGATATTAAAGGATTACAAGTAACAATGAATGACAGAAAAGAGATGATACTCGAACTATAAACGAAACTGGAGAGAGTTAGGCTATGAACGAAGGTGTTTTAAAGGTGAAGATAAGCGGAGTTGAACTGCCCTGAGATTGTTTTTTTAGGAAAGATAGGATGCAGAAAAATCATTCGGTAAGACGAATCTAGCCAGAACTAAAGTAACTGAACCACAAAGGGTTTCTATATAAGCACAAAGTAGGTGACGTTTTCTTCATATATAATCTGACGGTTGAAAAAGCGGAATGTTTTCGAAGGTATCACGCTATATTGTACAAATCAAAAGTCAACGTCGATTGTACTTCGGTTATCGGCGTCCTTGCCTGTGCTCTAGATGCCCTTCCTGAACTTATGTAGCCTTAATCAGTGCTCTTAGACTTCTTTCCTTAAAATCTTCTTATGGCGCTTCTCTGCAAGGGTTTAAAAGTTGGTGCGAGTACCTGCGAGTCGTACAACTCAATAGAGGTTCATCATCTCGAGTCCTCTTGGAGACAGGCGTCCCTTGGCCTTAACTTTTTTCGGGATCTTAAGTACCATTATCAAAGTATCGCACAAGTCAGTTGAATTCCATGATTTTAATATTGTCGATACCTGTGCCATATCAAGAACCATTTAATGATCTGAACAAATTCTGTGTCACGACAATTTGGGATACGATTTATTGAATTCTGCTCTTTCCTTTCTCTTTTGCGTTTTATTGCTTGACATTGATCAATTTCAACTCCTTATACCTAAGAATATGATCAGTTTCCGAATGAGCCTTATCAATGTGTGAGACCTAACTATTTTTGAAGCAATCATTCTTCTTGTTGACAACAGAATTCTGGTGCCAAAGGAACTATACGCATTCATTTCACTTCCTCCCCAAAAACTTAACCATTCTTCTGTTCTTTTCCTGATCGTCCTTTCCTCCAATCGAAACTTCTTGTCATAATCACTGATATCTGATTCGTGCTGAACATTTGATCACGGCGACCTTTCCCCAAAGTGGTCGGATAGGCCAAGATAAGATGTGAGAACACAGTTCTTGTAAGGCGGCCTACATACGTTGCAAAACCAGTATTGAAAAAATCAGCTCAAAAGTGGTGAATGTTTCATAGTTCGCTGGTCAGGTGAATCACCTCCCTATCTTTGTTTTCTCAATAAGACCACTAGGTCTCTCATTTGATAGTTGCTGCCTAAAAACTATCAGCTTGTGTTGAAGTGATCGTTCGGTTGCAAATACAATTCAAGGAACGTTTTCGATAACGTGTTGTGCATTTGCGTTCACTTTTAAGCTCTTTGGTATAGTCCACAACCCGGTACACCTACTTACCTATGTCGATACCCGGATAATCTATGTTTACGAGCAGCGCTATGCCCAGCATATTCTCCACGTGCGGGTTTCTAGCGCAATAGTGGTTATGGTTGTGGTGTGCTCCTAACATGATGGCATCCGCAAGGAGTATTTCGTGATCCGCTAATCGTTTCTGTCTGCGAATACAGAGGGTTATCCTGAACGAGAAACACAACCCATTGTGTAGGTGGTCACCCCAAAGTGCGCTTGAAACCTCTGGAGTATATTCCACAGTTCTCTACGTCCATCCGCCATCTGTTCTTCTTATGATATTCATATATGCTTCGATTTCGACCTTATTCCCTGGATCTTGAAGATGGGATGGCTTTCAAAGCTCTGACCCACGCATTCTGGCTAAATGTTAAGGACCTCGGCTATTTCCGAAGGCATTGTTGAAGAGGTCAATGGATGCTGCGAAGATTTTTTGGAGTGGTTGGAGTATCAACCCAACCCAATCGCTGTTGTACGACAAAGTGCTAGAAAAACCGTTGAATCGATGAGGTGAGCACGGAGTCCGGGTCCGTTGACTGGTCGGTGACTTGTTCGGGAAACTCGAACACAGTTCATGTTGTTCTCCTAGTTCTGTGTAAGTGCTCCTTTATGTTGTTCTCTATGTTCATTGAATTCCAAAGGTATACATAACTGGCTTGTGGTTTCAGCAATTAGAAACCAGTCATTTTGATCTGTACAGTCTCGTACCATGGGTTTCCATGAGCTGAGTTTTTTTTCCGATCTGATTTTTAACCAATGCACCAATTTTTTCATTTTTTACTCTATTTCGCCACTCGATATTTGGTCCTCACGCATGGATTGTGGTCTCATCCGACAGCTGAAGCTTCTGATATCATCAAGAGTTAATCGTTCCTTCTTGAGAAAGCAGGATATTATTATATATCGTATAGTACAAACTACATCCCAAAGTGGCTGGCAGTTTAAGCGGTTTCGCCCTATTCAGATTATCGAAAGGTCAAATTGATGCGCAATTTACTCAGCCAAACACTCATAAACTCAGCCATGAAAACTCAGAAGTAGTCGGGCTTGCACCTGTCTCAACCTAAGTAACGTCTTCAGCTGCTCATCGTGCAATGCGTCGTATCTAACCTCCTTCATTTTCAAAGCTCTGGCCTCCATCACTGAACATCGGAAGTCGGGCGGTTTCCGCAGGTAAAAACATTGACGCGAAAGTCTGCAATTATATATGTTCCTAAATCATATGCAGTACGAACAAAAGTGAATTAAACCCCATTTAGAAATAAGGCACAGAATATCCAATACGTAAAACAAGAACTAATTCCAAGGTAACCTACCAAACGAGGTGGAGTAGCCGGAAATTTAATCTACTTTTGGTTACGGTGGAAGGTAGAAGCCGCAATTGCGGACGCGTACCGTTGCGCGACGATCGTACGAACTTGGTTTTATTCAGGGCGTCCCGTGCACTTGCACTGAATCTATGAAAGTTGTTTCGTTTTGTTATACCAGTACTTTTCACCAGTGGCCCCTTCGGCATTACTGAGAGTGAAAAAGTATAGTGTTCTGTTTTTCACGTGTTTTTTTGGAATGAAGTCTACAAATGCGAGTCAATCCTATACTGTTTTAACAAGTGACACTTTTTTCGCGTTATAGTTTTTATGTTGTTTCATGAAAGTTTTATTTTGATAAGAGCCAGTCTCGTAATGTGGAATCCATAACGGATGCGATATCGGTGTTTCTTAATTCACTTCATGTTCCGATGTTGAATGTCTTAGGAAGACAGCGTGAGTGTCGGAGATGGCAGTACAACAACATGCAAAAACGCGGATAGCTTATTATTACGACGGTGAGCTTTTCCTCTTGTTCTTTTCAATGTGGGTTATGTGCCGTTGAATTGCGTAGAGTAGATACTTCAGACATTTTTATTTCTTTGAAGAAATAAGCTCTGTCTTGTTAATGAAGAAAGAAGGTTATGATTTTTCGATATATGTTGGAATCATAGTGTTCTCCAGCATTCATTAATTTAACCACAATGATGCTGAGATATTCGTAAAATTTGAAACCCGGGCCAGATCGAACCACGTTAATCCTTTCTGGGGACTGGTGTGTTACACTCTGCACCACTGAGGCTCTTGCTTGGTGTTTCTCTCAGCTAGTTTTCTAATTACTTCATTAACTTAGTTTTTTCCTTTTCCTGTAAACGGATACCATTTTTGCGCTTGCATCGTCTACTTATTCGTGTTTTACTACTTAAGTCTTGGAAAAAATTCTGTTTTCGAAGATATATTCATAATAGATTTTTAGGAGACGTGGGTAATTACTACTATGGACAGGGTCATCCGATGAAACCCCATCGAATTCGCATGACTCATAATCTGTTGCTTAATTATGGTCTTTACCGCAAATTGGAAGTCTATGTCAGTCAACATTGTCGCTAGTAGTGACACAGACAGTGAGAATGTGCTTCTCGACTTTTTCGTTTAGCGACCGATTCCGGCGACTTTTGAAGAGATGACCAAATACCATTCGGACGACTACATGATGTTTTTGAAAAACATTCGACCGGACAATATATCTGATTATACGAAACAGATGCAACGTTTTAATGTCGGAGAGGTATTGTCCACTACTTATGGCCATGCTCAATTATTTCTGGATATTCGTTCATCCGTGCTCTCTTAGGATTGCCCAGTTTTCGATGGTGTTTTCGAATTCTGCCAGCTTTCTTGTGGTGGTTCCTTGGGTAAACAATTGACTTTTTTTGTTCTGTGAGATTCTGTGAGTATTGGTATAAAACTAAAAAGATGCTTTAGCTGCTGCTACAAAATTGAACTGCAGACGGGCAGATATTGCCATTAATTGGATGGGTGGACTCCATCATGCGAAGAAGAGTGAAGCAAGTGGCTTCTGTTACAGTAATGACATAGTGTTGGCTATCCTAGAGCTGCTCAAGCATCACCAGGTGAGTGGAGTTGAGAATCTTTTGCATTGTTAGGTGTTAAGCCGTACGTCTTACAAATGGTTTTCGTTGACTTTATCCTTAAATTCTTTGGCAAAGTTTGTCAGCATAGTCGGGCCAAATTTCTATCTAGAGTATTGTTCCAGTTATGACATGAGCCACAAAACATTCAGTTATAAGCCAGATCTGTTTGAGATAACTACTACTCATGAAATACAGAGGCAATAGCTGGTTTAAACGTTGTACTGATAAGTCTTCCCTCATTGTGAACTTTATTTATTGAACGAAAAACAAACACGGAGGCTATAGATCTTTGCCACTGAAGTTCTTTTCTATCCTTCCGAGATGAAGTTCAGTTTTTCTAGTGTCCTCAGAGTGTATTTCTTTCTTTCTCTGTGTTAGAGCTCTTATTTTGAACGTGAATGCAGTTGAACAGGTTTGGGGTTTTGTTCAAGATGGAACGGTTGTGTTCGCAATCCATTGTTCACGTTTGCGATTGTGCCGCTTACGTTGTTATTTTCAAAGATTTTGATTTCATTTCCAGTTTTTAAAGAAACATTTGTGGTTTTCACTTCGAATTTGGAAAATTTAAGTTTATAGAAATTATATCTCTACCATTAAAGTACGGTGCAATCCTTTCATAAAAGTGTGAAGTTTTGAACTTCACTGGTGTCATGATCGAGAAGTTATAAGATATCGAAGGAGCTGTATACGTCGAATATTTGCGTCAAATGGTTTTTCTAGACATGGTAGGGTTTTTATTAATCATTGATAATGTAGTGTGAAAGTTTGTCTCGCTTTTTTGACAATATTTTAATGAATGCTCTATTCGTAATCTTAAATTGCATAGTTTGTTCTACGATTTTACATTGATTGTCCGTATTATGTAGGCGTGTATTTCATCTAGATAGGTCGATTGAAATTAGAGGAAACAAAGATTGGGGCTAACGATTTTTACTGTTAGGCTTACGTTACATTTGGCCAGGAAACTATTGGAACAGGGAAAACCAAAGTGAGTGTAAGGTGTAGCGTTGGTTGTGATGATGGAGATGGGAGTCTTGAGGCAGAGACTTATGAAACAATACGATGCCATCGACGGTTCGATGGTGACTGAGGCAGACATACGTCGGCAGAAGTGAAAAATCAAGAGCACTGGTGTTATGGAGTTCCTCAGAAATTATGTTAACGTAATGATGTCGTTGGGATGGAATTTATTCCATGCTTATTCAGCGCAACAAAACAGTCAATTTCTTGATCACATTGCAACCTACGATGGAATGCTGGTTCCTGTGTAACAACAGGCGACGGTATGGTTAGTGGTTAGACAAGTATGGATATGATTGTCCACAGCCTTTCGTCGTTGCGTTTTGGATTTTCATAGTTGCATTGAGTCGGTGCTCTGAAGAATGCGAAGGTGTCGAGACGTTAGTCGGATAAAAAGTTGAAAAAATCTCGTGAAAGCTGAACAATCCAAAGAAATAATTGACTATTCATTCCGAAGCTAAATGAAAGTTACTTTAGAAAGTGATACCGCCTGTAGTTCTCGTTTGAGATTTCGCTGTTAACAAACTTGTAGTCCTGCCAACATTTAAAGTTTTTTTAGCTTTCTAACGAATTGTTTCGGGGTTTGTCTATTGAACCTTCTTTTCAGCGAGTTCTGTATGTCGATATTGATATACATCATGGTGATGGTGTGGAGGAAGCGTTCTATACAACTGATCGTGTAATGACTGTGTCTTTTCACAAATACGGGGAGTATTTTCCTGGCACAGGAGATCTTAAGGTAGTAATTTACGACATTTGAACATAGCAGATTAAAATTCTGCACTTTGTATCTTCGAATTCACTTGTCACACATTGTAAGGTAGAAGAACAGTTAATAGTAAGTAGTGGCAAAAACGATTATTGCTACAGTGTTGAAATTTCTTGAAGTATAGAACGTCTTATCTTAACCTTTAATTTATGCACTCAGTTAAATCGTTAAATTGAACTTTTTTTCAGGATATTGGTGCAGAAAAAGGGAAATACTACGCGCTTAACTTCCCTCTTCGAGATGGAATTGACGATGAGGCATATGAGGTGAGATTTATAGATTGCATCACAGTACAGCGAATAAATTGTGGCGCTGAGAACTGTTTTTAGCGAATATTCAGCCCTGTGATGCGAAAAGTCATGGAGAGCTTCCAGCCATCAGCTATAGTACTGCAATGCGGTGCAGATTCACTTACAGGAGATCGCCTTGGGTGCTTTAACCTAACGTTGAGAGGTTTCTAGTTGTCTTATTTAGCAACATTTTGTAAAGTACTTCATACTATAAGCTGGTATAAGACAATTTACCAGTAATAGCAAGTCAGACTCTTCTCTGTTTATTTCTTTTTGTGTGTTCAGCCGAGATATCGAGGGTTTTTCAGGACATGGCAAATGTGTAGCATTTCTGAAGAAATTTGATGTACCTCTGATGCTTGTTGGAGGCGGAGGTTACACCATCCGCAACGTTTCTCGTTGTTGGACTTATGAAACTTCTGTAGCAATAGGCACTGAGATTGCCAACGGTAAAATTAATTAAATCGGCTTTAAATTGGACGTTATGTTATACTCTTGAGTGTGGGTGGTGTGATATCGTTTCAGAATTGCCATATAACGACTACTTTGAGTACTTCGGTCCTGACTTCAAGTTACACATCGAAAAATCCAATATGACTAACCAGAACACGCAAGATTATTTGGAGAAGACAATGGTTGGATACCACTTCTTAATTTCTGGATTTTTTATGCGAAATCGTATTTGCCTAATTCAGACACGACTTTTCGAAAATTTGCGAGAACTTCCTTATGCACCTTCCGTGCAAATGCAACCAATTGAACCGGACACGCTGAAAATGCTAGATAAGTCGCTAGTTGAGGACCACCTAAATCCCGATGTATGTTTGTTTACTGTTATTTATTTCTGTGTCTGTGTCTTGCTATGGCGGATGACATTTTTTAAGCCAAAACTCCATTATGCTTTACATGGTTATAAAACAAAGAAGTTTATGAGATGCTAATAGGTTATTTAGTTAACTGTAGTTTTCAATAGGTTACACACTTCAAGAGGTCTTTTTTTAAACCCAGTGAACGTTGCTTCTTCGTAGATTCGTGAGCCGCTGGCTATGACTGACTCCCATATCGAGCACGAGGCAGAATTCTTTGATGGAGGTAGAGAATCTGCTAGGGATGTCCAGGTCTTTTTCTTTCCCTGTCGTTTCTTTTTTTCTTTTCCTGCCAGAGAATTATGGTCTTATTCACCGGAAAACGTACTGTTTTGCAAAATATTACACATTGCGGCAGCAGTTTACTAAGTTCCGAGGAAACTAATGTCGGTTTTAAACCAGAATTTTTAAAATGCCATAATATCAGCTCGGAATAAACGTTATTAATGGGAATAAAATTCGTTAAACTCTATCCTTTTTTTGCCAAGAAAAACGAATTTACTTATACCGGCTACACAGAATTCTGGACTTCTAGAAGCAGTGAAATCATTGAAGAATGCTTCGGTATCAGCTTGGTTCCTGAAGCATTTTTCACGCAGAATTTTGTCAAGATGCTTGAAGATGTGATAGTTAGCAGGTTAGAGATCTGGAGAATATAGTGGATGATGCAGAGTTTTGCGGCCCAGCTCTTTCAGCTTTCGCAACATCAGTGGGGCGGCGTCTGGCAGTCTCTTGTCCTGAATAAGGAGTGTTTCCTTTTCGTTAACCAATTCGGACGTAACTATTGAAATTTGTGGTGAATTCTGTCGATTTACTGGACATACTTCTACGCGGTAATGGTTTCGTTGTGGCTCAAGAATCTGTGTTTGATTAACTCAACAGGAAACCACTTAACGATCACAATAACCCTATTTTCGTGCAATTTCAATTTTGAAAAGCGTTGCGGAGCTACATTACGGTCTTGTCACTGAGCCGATTATTTCTTACTATCATTGAGGATCCATTTGTCATCGTACTTCACAAAAGGGTTAGGAAACGGGGCATTCTCGTTGCACAGAAGAATCCTTCAAACGGTAACTTCTTTGAAAGTTATCCAATTCGTGAAGCTTCTGTCGAGATTCTTCATCTTTGTTGTTCCCTTTAGATGCTTCAAAAGAGTTGTTGTTCACACTGAATTCTGCACGATCTCTGCACTAAGTCTAAAACCGATGTGTTTGTATTTGCTTCCAGCAAAAGCTTCAATCCATCGTCGTCAGTAGCTGTAGGACGTGCGCGATTCTCGTCATCTTCAACGTCAGATGCACCGCGATTAAATTTTTCAGACAAACGTTGTATTCTGCATTCGTTAAAAATTCCTCACCCCATGACTCATTATTGTTGCGTTTGATTCCCTATGGTGGTGCATACGACTTGTATTCGTGAAAGTAGACACATCCAATTTGTTGTTTTGACAAAAATACTCTTAAATTCTAACTTAAAAATATGTCAAAAACACGTATGTTGTAAGTCAATTACTGGCTGTGCTATGATAATTTGTAAGGTTAACCTTGCGATAGTATATATTAGTACAGTGGTTGAAAAAAAAGACCGGCAAAAACAAGTTAGAAGTTCGACATCAGTTTCCGAGGAACTTAATAGGATTTACATAGGAATTACATGATATGAGTTGAGCATGTTATCCATAGTGCAGAGTTCCCTTTGCATTTTATGCGGTCATGAAAACTTAAAAAACTTTGGGAAGTAGTGATGTTCATAATTTTGTTTTGTATTTTTGTAGAGCTACAAACGGCGTGCTAATAGTCCACCAGCAGATGACAGTGAAGATAAAAAGCTGAAGGCAGACGAAAGTAACACTCCTTCGGCCTGAGATACTACATGATATCGCAGATTTTATTAGTTCAGTTTCGAAGACAGTACAACGTTATGGATACTACTCATTTAGATTCCTTAATTGTTATTTTCTGTCGTTCATTCAAACTACACTACAGGAGTATAATCAGATGTTGTGAGCTCATCAATGCTCAACAAACCGTAATAGTATGCCTTTAATATGGGAATGGGCTAGAACGTAGTCCTTTTTATAAAAAAGTAAGTCCAGTGGTTACTGAGGTAACTTATAGCAGCTCGGTTTCTCAGCTGTGGAAATGAAGGTTAGGAGGAACATTGTTGAGTCATTGCTGTACTTTTGGTGGTACGTGACTTGTTAACTAATATGTGTGATCTGATCTTCAAGTATACGGTTTAATTAACAACTTATATTTCGTACTTCCTCTGTGTTTTTTTCTTCGTATTTCCATGTATGACGTTTAGCGTTTGACCAAATGTCTATTTCGCATTCTTGGATGGATCAGCCCTTCTATTTTATGATGAGATTTGTGAAGCAATTTTTAATGAATAATTTTCATCCATAGAGTTGGATCCGTGTTCGACACAGTTTAATACATTTGGTACTTGTTTTCTATATTGTATGCAAACTTTATCGCAACTTTTTGAACAGAATATGTCTGACGGTGATACGATCAGCGCTTCTGATTTCTACGTAAGATACTACGTCGGACACAAAGGTAAATTCGGACACGAATTCTTGGAATTTGAATTCCGACCGAACGGGCAGTTGAGATACGCCAACAATTCCAACTACAAAAATGATACGATTATTCGTAAAGAGGTACGTGTATCCCTTTCTTATTTTACCAAAGTAGCTTCCTATTCCTTTTTTGGTGTTTTGTTCCAGGCATTCATTTCTCCGGTTGTGCTCCAGGAGCTAAAGAGGATTGTTGAGGACTCAGAAATTATGCAGGTAAGGTCGATTTCACGTTCTTGATCTGCAGATATTGGGTCAGTGATGGAAAACACTATCAATGTCACATGTAAGTTAAGGAGGATGACGCAAATTGGCCAGAACCTGATAAGGTTGGACGACAAGAGTTGGAGATTCTCATGAATAATGAGCACATTTCGTTCACTACTGGAAAGATCGGCTCATTGGCTGATGTGAACAATAGCAAGGTAGTACCTTATCTCTTCTCAAATTAGTTATTGGTTCTATAATGCCACCGACTCACCATATTTGTTGAGGGATTTGTGTTTTTAGCAACAAACGTATGTTATTGTCCTTGTAAAAACTTCTAGTTGATGACTGGTTGAAACAACCACTCCCCTGTTCGTAGCTGAACTATACTTTGTGGGATGGTAGTCGCAATCCTTTGGAACCTTTTGGAGAATGAAACTTTGAAATCAAATTAATTTGCTAAGTAAAACGGAAAATTTAGGACCCCGATGGACTTCGATCGTTCTACTACCTTGTACAGGATCTTAAATGTCTCGTATTTTCATTGATTGGTCTTCATTTCAAGATTAAACCCATCTAAAGTTTTTGAATACCATTGGATGAAAACGAATTTTCCGCTGCTCCATTTATAACTGAATGTTAAATCGTTGCATATGAATCTGATAAGTTGTTTCTCTTTGTGCCCTTCTACATGCTTTATTGCTAATAAATGTTCGAAGCCATTATGTTCAACACCGTTTTATTGACGAATTACTAAAAAATTACAAAGCAAATGTGTCACATAGGATCTAATCGATGGACGCATTCCATGAAGATTGAAGAACCGTGCGGTTACCGAATCAACTTAGCGATGTTCACAGTATTTAGCAATGTATTCACGTGCGCGGTGTGTGAACTGCTCACGGTTTGTCATCCACAGTTGAGCAGCTTGCATGTTCAATGCATCGTCAAAATCGATAAGGTCGGTGAACAGCGATGACAGTCCATGAATAACCTGATGGATAAAAATGCGTCCACAGAGTACAAAGTCGGGGTTGGCACTAGTACATAGACAACGAATAAGCACTTTTTCTATTATGAAGGAGGAAAGGATCTCTAGCCTTGTGCTGAAGAAGTATTAATTGTCTCCGTATCATAAGACTTATATCGCCTATCGTACGAGCAATGTTTACAAGAAACAGTTTTTGGGACAGGTTCGTCTTTTTATTTCTATTTTTGTCCTGCGGCAATTGTTTGACTGTCATGCCCATAAACGATAGTCTGATAGCGTACATGACATCGTTATGATAGATATAAGTCGTCGTTGTGAGTTGACGTTTGTCAAGTAGAGAAACACAAAGTAAGAGGAGATAAAAGAGGAAGGAAAGAAGAAGCCAATCCAATAAGTAGTAAAAAGTATTACCTCCGTCAAATTCCTCGTAGGTCTCCATCCGAACGCATCCAGCGAATTCTCACGAAGTATTGAGAGGCAAACGCTACCATCTTCGTTGATATTTGGATGAAATACTCGCGTCAGACATTTCACAGTAGGAGGCTTGAAGCGAAGCAAGATAAGTGTGGTTATTACGATGTGGGAACAACGATTACAATACTTAACGTAAATAGAAGAAGCAAGCTTACGACATTATTGTACTCAGGAGGCACTGAGATTGAAAACTTGAATATACCACCTCTGTAGATACCTTCTTGCGGACAAACAGTAAGCACCTATAAAAGTTGAGTACATCTTCACTACTCTACACTATTAATGGTAACAGACCTTGTCATACAGCATCCTGGAAGCGTTAAGTTGATTCAATTCAACGAGATATAAACCAATTACTTCACCATCAATGCCAGAAGAACCGTGAAATGCAGTTTGAACCATTAATAATGAAGCAAATAGGACTAGCAAGGCAACCTTTGCAATACAAGACTTCAACTCCGTCACCTGTATCAGCTATTACCCCATTAAACGCCAAAAGACATGAGCAGGCGCCAGTAATCCCTATTCCAGCCACCGTGCAAGAGAGCTGTTTAGTGAGTCCGAAAGGCACAAAAAGCAGCACATTTCTTGGCATGGCGGTTCCAGTTTCTACTCCTCTCAACGAGGTAACCACTAGAATGTCACTGTTCTCAACCGTGGTATACGTTTACTCTTAGCCGGATTATAAAATGGGATCGCTGAGTTACTTTAGCTGAGTGACTCTACCGTGTTGTAAATTACTGCTGAACATCAAGGAATACCTCGCTGCCATGATTACTCGACATGGAAGTAACGTATGGTGGTGGCTAGTGCAGTGAAGAGTCAAATTAAAAGCCAAATAAAACTATATGGAGATGAAACTCAGGTAAAACCAACGGAAACGAATGTGATGATTACGGAAGCGAAGCGGTGCGTGTGGCGCAGTGGTCGGCGGCGGATTGCAATACACACTGGATCAATCTCCGCGCCCCAGGCTTGCTAAGCTTTCCATCCCTCCGGAGTGAGCAAATTGGTATTAGACTTGTCTGGGAGGATGACAGCCACTGACTCGATACATCGGCGGGACAGCGAGAGTCATTGTAAAGGCCAGATATATTCGATCACCTCCAACGATGTTTAACAAATTCGGATGCACGGCGCATCACTGTAGGATTGATCAACGCCGACAAATTTATTCTTTTATTTTACCTTTTAGTGTCAGCATAATTGCGTTGATCTTGCCAAGAACTTATCTATGGAAAAGCAATACAAAAAGTGAGACCCACCATCTCATGCAGTTGAGAAGTGGACGGAAATGACAACCTGCACATATTTTGGTTCTTCAGGTTTGTTTCCAGATCTTTCAGTTCTAAAATGGAACTGTACACTGTAGGTAAGACCATTCAAACCATAGATCTTTAAATATCCTAACAGCTCCGTTTACCTTGTGCAAGTAACTTCTCTCTTATCGCGATTCGAGTCTCCATATACTTCTTATTGTCATCGATCCCATTAATTCTTTTCTGTAGATTCAACATCTTGATCAGACGGTCTGGAACACATAGCAATAGTCAATACACAGTTCCGCATAACGTTAAACCAGCAAAGATATTGCTGTTGAGCACAGAACAGTCCGGAATCGATAGAGAGAATTTACACACAATAGCCGCTAGCCCAAACAAAAGACAGAGAGTTCTAGAGCAAAACAGAAGGGTAACAGCTATCACTGATGAAATACTAGATCGGCCAAACTAGTACACAATGCTCCCACTAAACGATGCAAATGTGGAAAATCTCCGACATTACAACTCGGCACAATTGACACTGAGCCGTAGATTTAGCAGCAGACTGTTTGCTGACATGTCGTTGACAGGAATTCTACGGAAGTGTATCTGGTATAGTAATAAAACTTTAAACACATGAAAAATTGTCCACGAGTCTTCACATCAATGTCGGCGCGGGTATTGCATTCATTGGGACACGCTCGATCCTTACAGTAGCCTGTGGTGTCTTCTAATTGCTCCTATCGTGTGTTTTTGGTTTTCTTAACTTAGTTTCTTCGAATTTCTGTCTTTATTTTACCGTAATTCTGTGTACCATAACGATTGAGGATCGTGTGCGTTCGCTGAATTAGTTCTAGTACGGAGTCTTACGCTTCCTCTAACTTCCAGTCTATTCAGAGTTTCTTATAAAAGTTCAGTGGCTCCTGTTTATCGCTTTTGGTGAGAATGTGCTCGCGGTTAGTTGACGGGCTGTAATGTGGCATAGGTTTATTCTTAGCTGGACTTCTGGATGAAATGCCGATCGCTTTCTTGTTCAGCAATCGCGAGGTTGTTATACAGTCCATGCAAGAAACACAACAGAACATTAGTTGACCTTTCGGCAGCATCCCCTTCTTCAGAGACGTTTTTTACGTGTCTTCCACTGAGGAGGAAAAAAACCGCTGGTTAGAGTCGCATAGGGTTGATGACTGTAGTCAGCGGTTCTTTTCTTCTTCTATGGAAGACACGTGAAAAACGGCACTGAAGAAGGCGATACTGCCGAACCGTGAGCTTTTGTTGTGTTGTATGTGTTTTTGTATGGAAGTAAACGTATGCTGCATGACAACTTCGCGCTTGATGAGAAAGAAAAAGGGGCATCTATAATCCAATGCCGAGGTAAATAGAAAGTCTATCCTGGGAACTGCCCAACACGAGTTGTGTGCTCCAATTGGGGATTGAACTCTCCTATTTACATCGCAGTCGACACCTAAGAACATGCGATAATCCCAACTAGAGGATGTATGGTTGAATGTTCTTTGGAGTGGTAATAGCGTACAGTGCGTAAGCTTATCCTTGATCGTAAACACTGGGCTATGTTCTCTATCTCCCTCTTCCTCTTTCGTTGGGTAATGTAGACAGGTAAATAAGAGTAAATATGGCGGCGTTCGGCATGTTACATGGTCCTCAAGTGCTCAGTTGGTCAATCGCAAGATTCTCTACTGTTCTGGAGGAAGTCCAATTGCAAGGAAGCAAACTTCGGTTCCCAAGAGCGAATTTTTATTGACCTCGGCATTGATTGATAATTGATTAGTTGACAAACTTCGATCCACAAACGCTAGTGACCGCCTGTAGAAAAAGAACAAACTATAAGATGGCTGGGACTTGCACGGCATGTGAAAACAGGTCAGCTAAATATCTAAGTTCAAGGTATTACATGCCTAAATGGTGACAAGCGTTTTTCCGGAGTTTGTTCCTTGCTCCTAATTCTAAGGATTTGCTTAGTTCTCAACATTGTCCATATGCAACAGCTGTCTCTTCTTCCACTAGGATATCCAGGGTGCATGACGTTGAAACAACTCTTAATACAGCTTTAGAGATCAAGCATCGTACGACCTCTCAGTTATCCGTCGTGTAGGGAAACAAGCTAGCAACTTATTCAGAAGGACTATCTTCCTCTTTTTTTGTGATCCACAGCACAACTCACATTCGATTCGTTGCCTTCCAACATTCGTTCATGGATTTTTACACTCCAATCCATTAATAACTTGAAAATCTCTCATTTTTATTCCTCGTTGACATGTTCGATATCGTTTTCCATGTCTTTCCTGACATAACCATCACAGGGTGTTCTATGGTCTTCATCAAAGTAGTCGCCGACCATTGTGGATCAGAGTGGGGCGTGTTGCCTTACAGCCAAACCAAATTTCTTCCAGGGCGATAGCGAATCCTAAAATTAGTCGAGCAACCGGATGAGGGCAAATGGTCGACCGAAAGCCATTTGTAGAATAAACTATTTCGAATGGTCGATTGTGGGAGATTTTTTGAGTATTTTGCACAAGATTTCCAGGATATTTCAATAAAAATGTGGCTCAACTTCAGAATTCCTGCTAACAACACTTGGTTTTCAAAGCTTAAGACCAAACATTTAAGTAAACTCTACTTGGGAAATGTATTTAATGTGTTTAATCCAAAGCAGTACTTATAACCATGTAGGGTCAAGATAAGACACGCTGATCACTTTGTTTTTGAGCATTTTTAGAGAATTTAAACCTAGGACTTCCGTCAATGACACTTTTATGAGCTAAAGACATCGACATTCGTGGGAACCTTGATACTTTGAGTCATCAGTGCTCGGTGATGTGATATAAGGGAAACGATGGTGCCGTAATAGTATAACTATTTACTGTAACCCGTTTTCTTTCTCATATTTCACATGATCCTTCATCTCATCTATTGTGAGTGTGCTCCAGCACTTCTTGTATCCGATTCATATTCCTCGTATTCATCGTCAACAAATGTCTTCGAACATTTCGTATGATGTTTCGGCTGCTCTTCCCAGCGATTTACTGCCTCGCCGTGGCCGGGAGGTCTTCCTGAGTGTCGGGCTGCGATTTACAGCGCAGGGATTCGTCCCCCTCTCTCTCTCCTTATCCACAAGGGCGGTGACTGCCTGTAGTGGTAACGGGGCAGATTTTGGCTAGGCTGACTTCGCGACTTTGGGGAACCACAATGGCTAAACCAGCAAAACTCCGGAGAAATGGAGATCATGCTGGGGCCACACAACCATTCTGATGCTGCTTGAAGATTTTTTCTTCTTTTTTGGATGTCATATAATTCCCTGCATTCAGCGGTGGACAGGTAGACGATATACTTGGCATTCTTCAAAAGTCATTTCCCTTGTGGCTTTCCAACTTGCTTTCTAAATCCGATACTCACAAAAACTTTGGAAAAAGTTGGAAATTTTAGATTTCCTATATAGTTTGACACGATGAGGTGTTGTCTTACTATTATCTGATTAGCATTCGAGGTTGTCTGTTGAACACTTCGTATTTCGACTCACTGACCAGTAGAGGCTTCGATCCTCCGATCAAATGTGGTCTCAATTCGAGAGTAGAGTTTTAAGCCTTCTTTTTATGCACGGAAAGATTAGTTTTATTAGTTATCATTTTTCACCTTGCAACGGTTCACAGATCATATGTAATCAGTGACACTGATCCAACGGTACTTGTCGATCTATGAGCCTCATACGTTGAACTCTCTTCTTTTCTTAAATCTTATCAGAGAATTTCCTAGGACTGACTTACTATTAACATCGGGTTTGATCTATAAGTTGCTGCGCACTTCACCTTCTTTAGAGCTTCGAGAGTTCAAACTGATACGCAGTCTACTTGGCCAAATACTTCCAAATTCGCCGAAACTTTAGCCATTGTATTAACGATCCCATGTCTATTTATCGAGAAAACAGTGTATTATTCGACACTTAGTCATGCCTATGTTTTTTCATAGAAAACTATGAGACATGGAAATGAACATTGGGCTTTAGGTATGTAGTGTTTGGTGATAGTGAGAATGGGAAAGGATTTCAGCCTCAAATTGATTTTGAACTGGTTGTTCAATCAATGACAGTGCGGAAAGTATCTCAGCCATTGAGCGATTCCAAACTAGACCTTCAACCATGTTTGCATTGTCCAAATAGATGTCCTTGCCGAGCTCCGTGAAATGGAAAAAGAGATGGAGTAACCTTGTTCCTGTATATTTTGCTTTATCGTTCAAAGAGTTCTTATGGGCAGTATTACAAAGAACACCCACACGCTCTTTTACGAGAGCAAAGATTGTTTGTAGGAACAAAATTGGAACAGCAGTTTTGTTTCCTAGCAAAAGTTCAACAATCAACAGAAAAGACGCGGTTTCGTTGTGTTGGCATAATGACACCTGTCATATTGATGTTATCGGTAATCGATGAATCAAACCAGTATGATAAAATACATTGACGTCTGAGGAACGTTTGGTAGGTTAAGTAGGTTCTTAAGTTTGTTGGAAGTTTGCAGGATAGGTAGGTGGTGTAGAAATTCAGTACAAGTTATCATTTTCTCTATCGTCGTTATTTTACGTGTGACTCTAATAAACTAAAGTCGTGTTTTTCATAGTGCTTTTCCTAACAACCCGCTGTTGTTTTTCTGAAAGTGACTTTGACAAAGAAAGAGTCGTTCCAAGCTTCCACTATCTTGTTGCTAAATGTTTCGATATTTCTCCCTAGAAACCCAGCTAAGAGTAAAACGATGTCCCAAGATGAATAAATGGGCTTCTCGTGGATAGCATTTGGTTACGAAACGAAAATAAAAGGTTTTACATCAAGGACTGGTGCTTTTCGTGTCCGTCAGTCGAGAAGAGCTTAAGAGGATAGTTCTAGCAATTGATAGGGGCGGTTGAACACTTCACTGGTGTGAGCTTGAGTCAAACGATAATTAAAGAGATTACACGTGATGCAGGTTCCTCACAGAGCACAAGGTTCAAACCTTATCGTATACATATGAATAAAACTAGGTTCTTCCGAACTATGTCATTTGAACACGTCGTTGTACTAGAATTTCACGACCTTTGTTTCGATGCGTAGCCAAAAGTCAAGTAGTTTGAATTTACGCACTTGGTTGAATCTTATGGTAGCATTCTTTACACATGTCTTGAACAATGACAGATCAAGGGTAATTGATTCTGTTCATCAAAGTCGTACTTACATTTTTAACAAATTTGGTACCCTATGTTTGGAGCCTTCCGCCTCGTCTGTTTCTTCACTGTACGCGGTGAAGACTGTATGCACAGTGTTTAATACATAGCAGCTAACCCCCCGACATCTTTTAGAGCAGAAACTTGGAGTACCTTCTTCCTTAGCAATTTCCTCTTAGTATAGCTGTACGAAGAACGAGAGTTGCTGCATTACCTGTATATTTGTATCTGTGTAGTAGTTACATCTCCACACTTTACTCGTCAAGGGTCGGTTTCGCAGTGATAGTGATCCCGTTCATAACGAACACGATGCTGACTTTATCCTGCATAGAGACCGCCAAGCTTGTCATTCCCCTAACGTCGCTAAACTGGCAGCAGACTTGTCTGCGACAGTTCGCTTCATACAGTCCAAGTGGGACGCTTTACTACTGTGTCCCAGGGCTTTAGGGAGAATCGACTCGTCTAGCATTCAAAGACATTCATCGCGAAGGGAAAATCCTCAAGCAGTAGCTGAAGCCACACGTAAGAAGTTAGAGGAGCTTCGTGAATGATGGATGCGAAGAAACAAATCGAATGCAAGGAATGATGGGATCCATATAATAAATATGAAGGCAGGTCGTGTAGGAGTTTAAAAAAAGAGCTTTTCTCGTCATTATGGTCTTAGTGGTCTATAGAAAACGGTGAGTGTGCAGAGCTATGCTAAATGTGATTGAAATCTTGGTTTAGCGTTTTCTCTGTTTGGTTATGGAGGTGTTTGGCCGAGTGGATTGCTGTCAACTTGACCCTTCCAGGCTCTGAGGAAGGCGAAATCCGCCGAAACGTCAGCTTGTGCGTAAATAAAGAAATAAAATAGCACCTCGTGTTTGCTGAACAGAAGTAGAAAGATATATGGTCTTAGTGTTTTGTTTTCCTCGGACAGCACCTATAATATTATCATGGGTGGCGCAGTGGTAGAGATGACGGTGAATAATACATTCAAGATCCTGGTTTGAAACCGGCACGGGCTGACCAGGCCACCTGTTCTGCTGAAGTTGAAAATTGGTACCAGACTTTTCTAAGAAAGTCTCTCTCCGATCTATGAACGCTAGTCATTGTTAGTGGTGATTTAATGCTAGGATTTCAAGGAAAAACAACTCGATCAACAATGAACGACATTCTTAAGTAGTACCAAAATCCTGAGGCAGCAACTGAACCAACGGCAAATCCAAACACTTCTGTGGATGGTGCGAGGAAACAAATCGAGTGAGACAAACGCTAGGATCTTCACAACATGTAATGTCGTGTCATGTAGAATTAACAGATGGTTAAAGATCATACTGGAGTTGAACAAATTGCTACGGAAACTTGGTTAATCTATCGATTTGGTTTTTTCGTGGGGACATAGGTACACGAAAATTTTTCAACGTTAAGTGAACGTTAGCATGTTTAAATATTTTGGTGATGATTTAGTTGTCATTTTTAATCGGTGCAGTTCCTCGGCCGTCACATATTTCGTTGCGTCCCGTCAAAATAGTCTCCTAAAAGTTGAACTATCAAAGAAAGCAATCTCATACCACATCCTGGTAAGTTGAGAGAAGTTTAATATGCTGTTTTTGGCTGAGATTCGTTATGTTACATAGTCATCGAGTGGTTGGTCGACGAAGTGGAAGAATCGCTGCCTATGATTTACAATGGACAGCGAGTGTTTGTGGTAAAAATCTTACAGCGATCTAACACGATTATCTTAGGATTCAAAGAGAAGCCATACTCCAGGAGCCTTCAACATATCAGTGAGAATTGTCGCACATCAAAGGTGAAGCGTAAAGCGAGCCAGTTGAAATGTAATGAAAAGGAATGACGCCAAATTGAGGCGAGAAGCAGCCGACGTTCATGAAGGAACGAAAATGAAAACGTGCTGGTTTTACGACTTTTAGACACAAGTCGTACAAGTACAATGAGTATTACACTGGCATTACTCGGTATTGATTTCACTGTGATGAGAACAACACAGTGAATGAAAACTAGATTCTTCATCAGTTTTCTTGTCATCGTAAACCACTTTTTCTCCCTAAATCCCAATTAATTCCAAGGTTTCCTAATTCTGCAGTTCTGTTCTGAGGTCCTACGTAGGTTCTCAACGATTTCTTCGTTTAAAAACCATTGAGCAATTTAGTGTTTACAAGTGAAGACGTGATAAAAGAAACCAATGATAAGTCCATGGTTTCTGTTATCATGAATCATCGGGACACCGACAGCTGTTGGTCCTCTCAATAAGACGATTACTCTGCGCTTGCGTTATTCTTCCTTCACGCGGTTCTGAATTTTCTATTCAAAACGTATTAAGTGTTGATATTGTGAGAAGCCACAAGACATATATGTGCCCATCGTCTGCTGCAAATAAGCTTAAGAAGAACGCTTCTCGTTCATTCATCACATGCTCAACGAGCTACTGGATTTCTTTGCTTCAAAAGACCTCACTTTCAGTTTCAACTATGGAACATCGATGAGGGTAGATTTTTATAGGTGATTTGTGAGCTTTGTTGAAAATATCTGAAAAAATCAACCTTGTACGGGGCAAATGTAGTTTCTTTCTTTTTATTTAGTTTTCCGAGCTTGATATACCAATTTCCCAATTGTGGAGGTTTGATGAGAAACTTTGTGGGTTCGGGGCGGGATCGTGCCAGCGCCGTGCTCGTGATGATCGGCATCACAATCGCTGTGCTACCTGCTCCCTCTTGCAGTCTTAAATAGCAGCAAAATGCTGGTTATTTTCATGTCGACTTTAAGTGGAAATCGGTTTTGAAAAAGATTTGAGCTTACTTTTTTAAAGGTGCAAGTATCATCACGATCTCTGTAGGTGGCATTGAGTACATATTAGTTACAAGGCAATTTCTTGTGTTTTACCCACTATTTACCTAGAATTCTATGTTGAAGAGAAATATCTCGAATCGACAGTTGTCCGAATTTTCCGAAACTCTTGAATGTTTTAAGACTTGATCTCAGAAAAAAAAGAGCACGGCACCAGTGAACTGCTTCAGTTTTTTATGGGGTGTGATCGACGCCTTAGCAACACCTCAGGACATGAAGAACTCTGAAGCACTTCACCTTTCGGAAACTTTTAAGTAAGAAGGTCATTTAATCTGTCAGTTTAGCCCCGTCATACTCGATAATCTGTCGGAACTGTTAATAATATCGTATATTTTGTTGTCATTAACTGGTTATTTTGATGGAAAAACGAAACACTCCACATTTCAGATTCTGATTCAATTCGTGGAAGGGCAACTGGCCATGTCGGTGGGGTTTGAATTTCACCTCTATGCACTTGTGTATTTAAATATCATTTCGAACTCATTCATTTATTATTCAGTTCGATGAAGCAGCTGCCAAGGTGAAGACGTTGAAGTCATCACCATCAAACGATCAAATGCTTGAACTGTACGCGTTATTCAAGCAAGGCACAGTCGGCGATAATAACACTGAAAAGCCGGGGATGCTGGATATGAAAGGAAAGGCGAAGTGGAGTGCATGGGATAGTAAGAAAGGTCACCTACCTCGTCATTCACTTATGTCTGTTTTTTTTTACTGCAGACTACATGCGCACCAAACTTTTAAATAGGTGCGTTTTTATTAATAATGTGTTTCTGATTTGTGGTCTCAGGTCATGGGAACGGATAAGTCATCGATTTCCAATGGCTGCATTGTTCTGCTATGATAAAGTAATCACATGTCTTAGCTCTTGACCTAAAATATTTGACAGTGAACCCTCAACAGTGTTGATGCGCTTCCTGGAAAGTTATCACCCGCTGTACTGAATACTTTGAAGCATTAATTCGGTGGCTTGTAAAAACTTTTCAATTTCCCAAGACTAACTTTTTGTTACCCTTAGCATTGATCAAATAAATCACTGTATTGTTGATGGATGTGGCGGTGAGAGCGCAGTGGTTTGTGATACCGTAGATCAGGAAGCAAAAGACACTAGCTCAATCCCCGCCTCAACGCTCTCTTCCATTCCACGTGAAAACGCCTTGACGCTGCTCTCTTCAAGATTGCAAAAAGAGTCGACTAGAGCAGCATTCGGCGGCATCCATAAAGAAGACAGAGTCCTCAAGCAGTAGCTGAAACAATACGCGAATTCGTCGGAGATCACTGTGGACGATGAATTCTAGGAAAACGAATCGAATACAAGAAGTGCTGGGATCCGCACAGCAGATACGATGACGGGTCGTGTAAGGTAAAATAAAAAGTGATTGTTGATGAGCAAATGTGCGATTGTTATTCTATTCTGTATTCACGGAAAGAAAACTTCAAGAGAACCAAACTTGACTAATTTTTAAGTTACTGGCTTTACGCTTTTAATTATCCGTGCCAAAGTAAATGATGCTAAGAACTACCCTTTGTTTATAACTAAATGACACCTAGGAGAACTGCCATAAACTGTGTTCACTTTCTAACAAATGCTGTTATCAAAAACACTTGGAATTTATGCTCAGAATTGTTATGTCAAGCCACTTTCTGCTGATTATAGTAGTAGTCGTTGACCGCAAAACTGATATAGATAATCATTAACATTCATTCTTTATTCCTTTTTCGGTAGCAATTCTGTGGAGCTTTTTCAGGAATGAGCCAAGAAGATGCCAAAGCAGCGTATGTGGAACTGGTGAACAAGCTAGTCGCGGTCATTGGTGTAGCATAAAATTTCACTTCACTATATACCAACGAAAAATGAAAACAGGTCCATATTATCTGCAATAAACTTTGGATTTGCCAAATTTTAGAGTGCACAGTATATTAATTTCGTTGAAATAACCAGTGTTACTTATTATTTGTATAAACCAATTCCGCTCTGGGTTAACCAAGCCTGTCATCCCTCGGAGGTCGGGAAATTGGTACCGGACTTCTCCGTGAAAAAATCAGTCTCTGCAATCCAGTTGGGAACACTCCAGCCCGGCTATCTGAGGACTCCAGGGAGAATTGCTCGACCAACATTCTACGATACTCAGGATGAAATGAAAATCTTCAAGCAGCAACCGAAGTCACACGTAAAAATTTGGAAGACATTCACGGACGATGTATGCGAGGAAACGAATTAGATGTGAGAAGTGCTGGGTTCCGCACAGTAGACGTGAAGACGAATCAAATAAAATAAAAAAATCTGAGTTCATAGATTTTCGGTAGGGTGAACACAAACGAGTGCACTGTCTAATTTATACTAGTTACAGTTTAAGAAATTAAGAATGCGCAGAGCACAGTGGTTAGAGGCGCCCTGGAATATACATGAGTTCGATCATGCGCGCTAGGCTCACTAAAGCTCCCAACCCTCCCGGTTCGAGAAATTGGAGACCTGTCTGGAGGAGTAGTAGCACTAATTCTATACATTTGTAGGCCACTGCGAGTCATTGTAAAGGTCGGGTAGGCATGCATTCACCCTTTACCATTATTGATGAGGTCAAATGCATGGCGCACGGATTGTTGATCAATGCAGAGAGCTTTATCCCTTCTCCTTTTTTTTTCACAGTTGAAAGAACGAGACATTCATGTGTACAACTAACGAAATAACGGATTCTTTCGTGGTTACTTAGGGCAGAGACTCAACTACAACAATTATAGCTGCTCCTATGTGGATTGGATATCTAACTTTTACACATGACGTACAGCAGGCAAATTTGCTTCCTTTCCGCGTGTAACGACGATTGATTTCACCCTAGTTATGGACTCACTGATTTTCAAACAATAGGCGATAATTTTTTGGTAACTAGAGGATTTGAGGAGTTGAGAACATAACGCTATTACCGAGGATATTTTGTTTGATCTCTCTAGGGATGTACATGTGTGTTACTGTTTATTATCTGTTGCAATGGTCCACCATAGAACCACATTGCTGTGAGCACTTAGAAGTGTTGTGCAGCTTATTTTGTCCCAACTTCGATATTTATTAGACCACCACATTCCATACAATAACTACGTCTAATCTCTTAATAACTCAAAAGACCGACTTTCTATAAACCTCGGCATAGATAGTTGATATATTTACTTCTATGTTCTTATAAACTGATCTTCTGTAGCTGATGCGAGGTTGCTATAGGTCTTCGTTGTTGTCGTTGCTGTTGTTGGTCGATGGCTGAGGTTTCGGCGATTTCGCCTTCCTCAGAGCCTGGACGTATTTTATACAAGAATTCTTTAATTATTCGGGAGAAAAAAAGCCAAAGTATTAACGAAGATCAAACTTTTAAATAGACGCCATATTGAACAGAAAGGCTACTCACCGTGATGTTACGAGTGGGACTGGACCACGCGTTGTTCGCGTGGGGTCGCGAGCAAGACACACCACGGGGTCAAAACATCATTTTGAAACAGGGCGCCAGGTCACGCGTGATAGTGAGGCATTCGTCTTTCCGGTTCATCTTTGGATTTTTGAAACTTATCCAAAACGCCTGAAGAGTTTTGCGCGTTGATGTTTTCGATTCCTGCGCTAGGATCCGCACATTCACTTCAAAATCATCCCCGTTGTGCTTTTGTGCCCTATGCGTACCTAGAAGCGTGTTTAGACGGATTTTAGCTTTTCCATCCAGATGTTCTCTTATGCGGACACAAAGTGGTCTGAGCGTTTTCCCAATGTATTCCTCACCGCATGCGTTATATGAGATCGAGTATATTATACCTGAGCTCATGCGATCCCAGTCTCTCTCGTTAAAACAGATCATACAGATTTCTGAGCTGCACAAACGATCATAGAGACGGTTGCGAACTAACTGACGGCGTAGGGTATTGGGTGGAATGTCAATAGTCGTTATATAATTTTTAAGACCACTTTTTCTTAAGCATCTCTTAATGGTGTAACTTACTTCGTTTGATATGAAGGGTAGCTTAAAAGGCATCTTACGTCCGAAATATTTTTTTGGGGACTACCCTACGTTTATGTCTAACCAGAGTGGATTCTACTTCGTAGCCATTGGAAATGGCTATTTTTCGCGCCAAGTTTTACGATTCCTTCCTATCCTCTTCTCCTGTGCACACATTTTTAGCCAATTTTGGCTGACTTCCATTCTTAAACATTCAAATAAAGCTCTCATAAAGTGGATATACAACAAAATGGTATCGTAAGCTAAGTACAGGGCTAGACTAGAAATGTTAGGTAAAGTAGTACCAAAGAGGAACTACCACTAATACTTTTTCCCCGAACTTTCTTTAAACAAGAGCTACCAAATAGCGATATTAACCCTGCATTTCGTTTATTTTCAGACGGAATTCTCCACGTACTTAATCACTACCAAAAAAGAGAAATAGGCTCCAACCTCACACACCAACAAAAATGTTTGCGCCAGGTTAGAGAGCTCTTGAATTCAAAATCTGTTAGACTTTCTATTAGTGATAAAGGTGGAGAATTTATAGTTATTCCTACTCAGTTAGAATAACAGAGAAGCATCTCAATAATGTTTCTCCCTATCGAACATCCTCTGAAAAGGAATATAGAAATCAATACCGAAAATTAAATCAGAAATGGGTCAGCACGGCAAACGCCGCGGGTTTAGAGCTTTCAGTTATTTCTCGACTTAAAAACGAACATCCAATTTGCCCTGTCCTTTACTTGTTTATTAAAGCACATAAGCTTACTTCAACTGATGATATTACATCATCGAACCCATCATCATTTAAAGTTAGACCTATCATCAGTTGTATAGGTAGGCGAGCGGATAGAATAACGTGGCTCCTAATCCTTATCCTGACCCAGGTGCTAAAATTGATTGCAACCCATTTACCTAACATCAAAATATTTCTGGACCACCTATGGTGCGCGCAACCAAACAGGACGCATGTAATGTTGTCGTTCGATGTTTCATCACTTTATACCAACGTGTTCAACGACACCGCAATGCAAGCCATTCTCGAGTTGCTCATAGAGCACGGAAAGGGAAACAAAAATGCACGGCTTGTCGATTGCGCAACTAATGACTATTAAAACAGTGTCTTTAGTTCAACAATCTTTAGGGGGTCTGCAAAATATTTTGCACAAATTAGAGGGTTGGCCATGGGACAGCGTTTAGAACCAAGTCTTACCAACGTTTCCATGTCTAAGGTGGAAGCTCCAGCTCTCGATCACTGATCCTTCCTCTGCTGTCGATACATGGACGACTACTTCGTCTGTTCCACACAAGAACAGATGGATGAGTGCTTTGAATTGTTAAACCGACAGTCATAGTATATAAAATTTACACAAGAAAAACCAACCGAAAACTGGCTTCCATTCTTAAACATCCAAATAAAGCTGTCAGAAAGTGGCCATATAACAAAATAGTATCGTAAACCAAGTAGTAAAAATATACTAGTTCACTACCTCTCCTCTCTCCTTCACAAATGGAAAGAGCAATCATCAAAAATATGTACCGAAAGGATAAAAACGCGTGCATAGGGGAAGAGGAAAGGAAGGAATCGCTAAACCTGACACGAAAAATAGCCATTTCCAATGGTTTCGAAGCAGAAGCCACTCGGGTTAGACAAAAACGTAGAGTAGTTCCCCAAAATAATATTTCGGACATAACTAAGATCCCTTTCAAGCCACCCTTCATATCAAATGAAGTAATCCTTCGTATTTTTGTTGAGCAAACGCGAGGTGTTATTACTCTTTATTCACGAATAAGCTGACGTTTCGGCGGATTTCGCCTTCGTCAGAGCCTGCCTACTATTCTCCTCCAGAGGCGGTCCTCCAAATATTGAGCACAAAAGTTTTCCTTCGTCTCGCACTTCTTCCACTTGGCGAACATCTGGTTTTGTCGGCTTCGTAGACAAGTGCGTAGTATTCGCAATTCGATGTCCAATACTCGGTGACTGTCCTCTGGTAGTCCGCATACGTCGTGTAGTCGTCTTTGTTTGATGAAGTTCGGAACGACTCGTTGTTTTAGACAGCGGCGGAGAAAGTGTATTGACTGTCGCCTCTGGAGGAGAATACTGGGCAGGCTCTGAGGAAGCTTATTCGTGAGTAAAGAGTAATAACACCTCGCGTTTGCTCAACAAAAATACGAAGGATTACTTGATCAATGCCGAGGTTAATAGAAAGTCGGTCGTGGGAAATGAAGTAAGTCACGCCATTAAGAGGCGCTTTAAAAAAAGTGGTCTCGAAAATTATATAACGATTACTGGCATTCCACTTAATACCCCACGCCGCCAGTTCGCAACCGCCTAGACCTATTCCAACCTCGCATCAGCTAAAGATCAGTTTATAAGACCATATAAATAAATATACGTTGAATCATAGAGATTGGGAATGGGCTAAAAGTCAATGGTCAGTTGAATTACCGTTCAGTGAACACCTCAGAAACGAAAAGTTTCGGAAATTATTAAATGAAGAGGACGGCTTTGCTTGGGCCACGTCTGCCACAATTCATACTGGACAAGCCATCTGCTGATTAGAAAGAAGTGCACCAGAAATGTTTCCTGCGTGGAAAAAATAAACGTTTATAAGGGAAATGCATTAGGTGTAATGCATTTAGACCGTTTCGCACCCACACATGCATAGCATGCAATGCATCTTGGCTGTTGTATTACAGCACTTTTTGCTACAGACGCCGTCTTACTCGCCAGCTACGCAAATTTCAACATCAGGCGTTACATGTGAAGACCACAACATTTCAAAAACATGACGGAGTTACACAGACAGCTGAAAAACCTGGAATTGTCTCAGAAATGCGCGTACGCATG